GCTACAAAGCTATAAGACTTAACACTTGTTAAATCAGGCCCACAATGGAAAAGGGTGTGCATTCAGTGTTTCAGTTTACCGGTAATTACTGGTATTTTACCGAAGAATATGCCCTGTACCGGTAATTTCAACGCTGTCAGTTCAGTGTACTGGTAAAAATCATATACAGTTAGTTGGCTATTAGACTAGTGGTGGTAATCATACGTTAAAAACGTGCTGAGCAATAAAATCATCTGACTCATCTGACTTTGGTCTCGTTTGTTGTCTTTTCACCACGGAAAAAAATGATAATGGAAATCCCTCTGATCTATCTATAGAAATCACCAAAGTAACCTTGACATGCCGATGTTCCATAATTCTGATTGGCTGAGAAAGCAATTCGCAACAACTCGTGTCCTCTGTCTGGCGGAAAGATACGAGTGGTTATGACTGGCTTTCAGAGCACATGTCAAATGGCAACTCGAAAGCAGACGACACTGTCATCTTTTTTGGTAGGGGTCAAGCTCAATCACCAAAACATAAGGCTAATGAAAGTGAGGAAGCAACTGGTGACAGTAGTAATAACAATGATGGCAAAAAAGATTCAACCTGTCACAGTGATAAGAAGAGAGTGAAGCGGTTTAATGATGACTGGTTTCACGAATTTCACTGGTTACGTACCAAAAATGATCAGAAAGGGAGAATGTTTTGCAAAATATGTGAAGCAGCTGGTAAATTGAATAGATTTACTCGTGGGTGCATTAAATTCGGCTTTGAAAGACCACCGTGACAGCGATAGTCATCATGAGGCTGTTGTATCCATGTCCCACAAGACAGCGATGGATGCACATGTTTCTGCTGTGAAAGACAAAAATCATGAATGTTTGGTAGCAATGATGCGAACTGTTTTATATATGGCGCAAGAAAACATCCCTACATCAAGTTTAGTAGGCTTGTAGATTTGCAGCGACGCAATGGATGTACATCCCTGTCTGGCGTAATTTATGCTCATTCATATTCTATTGAACAATTGTAAACCAAAAGTCACTGTGTTCTTTAATCTGATTGGTTGAAAAACATGATCAAATGGTATTCGATTCCTGGAAATTCGCTGTGTATTAATACATCCAAACATCGCTCACACCATTGTATTGTTACGTCGTCAGCTGTGATGACGTCATTCAAATCATATTGTGATGTAAAGTACAAATGATGAGCAGTTCCAGATGCTACCATGGGAGACAGCCGAAACGGCCAGCTGATGACATTTCACTGCTGTACCCGTACTCGATGTCAATGAGTGCAGACACAAAAATATGTGTGGACCTTTTAGTTTACTTTAGTGTTTACAATGTCGATAAACATCATGTATTTGCCAATTTCCGGGTGTTATTGAGTATTTGAAGCATGGGAAAACGCGAGACATCATGAACAAATGGGACGTTCCTATGTCCAAATTACTTCGATTGGGCTCCGACAAGGCAAGCGTAATGACTGGAAAACGGAGTGGTGTCGGTGTCAGACTGAAAACTGAGAATCCCTATTTAGTGCATGTGCACTGTATCACAGGATGCTGCAAACTTATCTCAACATGTGGCAGAGTATCATACCACATTGAATGAAATTTATAAACTCTACGAGTACAGTGCCACTCGATATGAGAGACTGCGTGAACTCTCAAAAGTACTAGATGATGAGTTTTCTAGCGTCAAACAACCTACAACAGTCCGCTTGGTAGAGCAGTCAAGTCAGTGAAATTAATTTGGCCTGCTTTGGTCATGGAATTTGAGGAAGTAGCAGTGTTTGTTTAAACTTAAAGGTCACATGCAACGTAAAACACAACTTTGCAGATTCTGATACCTTTTCGGTATGGACATACCGAAACAAATTGTCAAAAATGCAAATTCAACTTATAAAGTTGAAAAATAACGCGATGAAAAAACCCGCGCTAAATCGGAGTTCAAACGTTTCACTAATTTTCCCACGACTTTTCGGGGGAAAACGGGTTTCAACAGCTGGGCTGCGCTCATAGCACGTGCGCAGTGAAATAGGTTCGCACAGCTTGGAAGCGGGTTGTCCGGTGAATATTCGGTGAAGGCTTTGGTGTAAGCTATTTTTCTAATGTTTTGTTGATATCTCACAGGCGCGAGCTTTTTATATGTTATGACAGTAAATTAACTGTTTATATAATTTCATTTGTCTATTTCACCACACGTTCTTCTTACCGAGTCACTTTCTCAGTTCGATACTTAAAAGCAATGTCATTATTTAGCGTTGACAGAATTTCTAACTGTGATATAGATATGTCGTTGTCACAGACAAAACTCAATGTCTTGTTTTATTGACACCTGTGTGTCTGCCTGCCTGTCTGCTAATGACAATATTCAATACACAGCTGCTATCACTGACCACATGCAATTTGAACTTAACACCAATCAGGCTGTACACCATAAACAAAATGCATTGATTTATGGCCCGAGTTCGGTCTCTGTCACATTATGTAATTACACAGACAGGCAGGTGTGATACTTGAACACATGACATGTTATGATGTCTGTTGATTGCAAAATGTTATACACAAAAAATGAGCATGTATTTACAAAACCCAACATCTCTATATACACACACACAATGTGCCGTGAAGGCGGCATCTGCAAATGAACCAGCCGTTACACTTGAGTGCACACCCACCCGCTCTGACTGGGTTCGGTATCCCGGCTGCTTCGTTTCTTGGGAAGTAAACCCAAGTACACAATATTCCACTTTTGATTTGCGATTGTACGCTTATAATTTTGTTTATTTGTTTTTTCATAACCAGCAATGTATATTATATGTCATGAATAAGTGATAATTGTGTTTTAATTAAGGTTGATTTTTTGGTTGCATGTGACCTTCAAACAAAAAACTGAAAACATTCAACTTTATAGGAATGACATTTGTGTTGTCTGAAGTTCTGCCAATCATGGAGAAATTGGTCACGATTTTCCAGAAGGATAGTGTCAGTCTTGCTATGATGCGTCCAGTGGCGAATTCTACTATCTAGTGTTTGGAACATTTACTGAATAAAAACTGGTGAAAATGAAGAGTTTTTTAAGACTAACATCGCAGACGGAGTGTTTCGTGCATTAAACTGACATATACAGATGATTGTTCAGTTCAGGCTTTCAACACGGAAAGGAAGGAGTTTATTGAGGAAGTAGTCAACTCTCTCAGAAAGAGATTTCCTGATAACTCTTTGGATGTTTTGTACTCCCTTGATGAAGTCTTGAACCCCACACGTAACCCCAAGAATCGAAATGAACTGGTCGAGTATGGACAGGAATCTCTCACTTAGATACTAGAACAATACGGCACGCTGATTGGCCAGGAAAATGATGACATTACTCCTGTTATTGACAGATCGCACGAGAAGGGATTTCTCACAGTTCAAGCGTGTCCTTTCTGGCATTGGTGTGACATCATTTGAAAAGAGCTGTGAAGTTGTCATCAAAGAATATTCTGATGTATTTCCTGATTTTGCTATACTTGCAGAAGTATCACTGATAATTCCAGAAACAAGTGTGCCTGCTGAACGAGGATTTATCTTACAAAACAGGATCCACACCGGCAAGCGTATTCGACTGTCCCAGTGCAGATTGAACAATTTGATGATGTTAAATTGGCACACATTGGACATGCCCTTTGATTTTTCACACACTGTGAAGTTATTCAAAGCAAATAAAAACAGGAAATTTGAAGGTGTGAGCATTTTGTTTTTATTTTATCAAGTTCAGGTTATAGTATAGTGCCGTTGAAAATGGTAATGTACCGAAAAAATTCATTGCTGTCGGTACACTGTACCGGCGGTTTGAAAAGTTAGTGGAAACACTGGCATTGTTATGAAAATGGATGTGTATCATACTATCATCCAGCTTATAGCACGGATGATGGCTTGTGGAGTCATTTTATTTGAAAAATAATGCTGACATTCCATGACCCCACAACATGGACTTCACACTGATAAGACTATTTGAACAGAAGAAGTCAATAATGAATGTGACTTCCAACACAGCATCGCCTCGTGGACAGGAAAGACCTGTCTGAAGACTCCAACTGAAAGTTGTAGCCACTAGTCAACTCGTGCTTTTAGAAGTCATTGCAAGGCCTAGGGTTGATTCATCTGCTGTCCCAGCTCATCTTTTCCGAGCTCATCCCAGATCGGGATCAAGTCTGGGCAACATGGAGGCAGTCCATGACATCAACACCAGTGTTATCATTTGCGTGTTGTGTGTGTCATGTCAAGTCAAAACTTGGTCCTGTATGGCAGTAAAATTCCCCCAGACAACAATCAATGGTGATCAACAGGTGGCACAAATGTTCCCTAAACTATTTTGCTTCCCCTTCCAAATCTGTCAACCTTACAATCCAACCCTGTGCTTGATGTTTCCCCCTGCTGCACTACACCGTATCCTGACGTCAGCATGAAGCAATGTCAATGAATTATGATTACTCACTGAAGACAGTCTCACCTCTTGTTGAATCTGGCATGTCAGTGGATCAGTCGTAAATGATGAGCATGGTGAAATTGTGCTATGATAGGTCCTGTGTATGGCCATCTAGCTTGGATACCCGTGGTGTGCAGTCAGTTCATGATGGACTGTGCTGGCACTCTACCTCTGAACAACATGTCTGCTTGTGGAGGTCAGAAATGTGCTGCATGTTATTTTGTGTGACATCACACGAAGCTCCTCAGGCCTCAGACTGATATTTTCAGATGGGTTGTCCAGCATTAAACCTATACATGGCAGGCTCACTTTACTGATTTTGTGAGTCGAGGCAGACTCACTATTTTATTCAGCTCGCAAGTTTGAGGCATATTCCTGTTAAGCAATGTCTGTTCGATCACTATGCGTATCACATGACTTCCTAAACTTGATTGTTTGATGTATTATGACCAAATTTTCCACATTTGTTGCCAAGAGGATGTTCCAACGATCAATAAAGTGTTGGCGGGTGAAATAAGATTTCTCCTTTTCCCACAGTGTCACGGACTGCAACCAAGTTTGATAAAGTGGTGAAGAGAGAGGTGTGTCAGGTGACCTCCAGGGGTACCAAGACGTATCGTCACGTAGAGGGAGACTGCAGTGATGTTGACAGCAACTACCTCCTAGCCATTTGTGAGAAGGTGAGTGTAAGATTAAAGTAACATATTCTGCAGCTATCTCAAGAAAATAATATTGCCAGCACATGTCAATCATGTTTTCAAGTGGCAGTTTGCTGATAGTTGTTTGTGTTGTTGCAGGAGACTGGGTCTGATGGAGGCAGTGTGTACGGTGTTTGTTTCATCGACACTTCTGTTGGAATATTCCATGTAAGTTGCCTGGATACACCATTTATGATAGTGAATATTTTTGGCTTTAGAGTGTTATGCTAAATGTGCATGTTGTTTTTGTATGTGAATTTCAGTAAAACAGCATATCTTGCCTATCCATTGGCACTCTACACAAGTTATGTTGAAGGTCTGGTAGGACCAGCAAAATGGGTTCAAACTTTAAAGTGTAATATTTTTATTTGATTGATATCATCCATAGATACAGTGCTGATATATCTAAGGAGCAGTATTCGAAGGAGTTTGTGTATTGATTGGGTTGACTGTTCACCGTTGACTGTTTGGACTGTTTATTGTGTTGTTGACTGTGTTTGGATGATGTTCATACTGTGTTGTCTATTAGGAATGTGTTTACCGTGTTTTGTATATGTTTACCATATTTTGACTCTGTTTACCGTGTTTTGAATATGTTTATTTTGTGTTGACTATGTACACTGTGCTTTCAATATGTTTACTGTGTTTTGACTGTTGACAGTAGGTACAGTGTGTCAAGCGTACTGGCATATTGCTTCTTGTTGCAGCTGGGGCAGTTCACAGATGACCGTCACTGTTCCCGCCTCCGCACTGTCATCGCCCACCATACTCCATCGCTGGTGAGTAAGACCTACCTGTGCCAACTGTAGCATAAGGGGGTAATTGCAGTGAAACTAGCCAACATATTGAAGTTGTGAACTAAACATATATGAGTCATTCTCAAAAGTTGCAGCTATTTGGTGTACAAAAGACAACAAATACAAAATCGTCAATCTTTACTTTGACAGATGGCAAGATACGTTGTTAGGGTTCACATATCAATAGTATTTGAGGCTTAATTATGTGCCATATTTTTATGAAGACTAATTAAACTAATTAGGACATAGACACAATGTCTTTCCTGTAACAACAGTAATATCTACATTTTTCTTAAAAATACATTGATATGTAAAGATATTGTATTGTAAAATGTACCTTAATCTGTGTTATTGTATTTTTATTAAATAAACCTGTTCTACACTGAGTCAGATGAAAAAGTGAAATATGTGGGTACTTTACAATACTCTTGATATCTTTTCAACTGTCTCCCCTAAAAAATCATTGCACTGAAGGTAATTTGAAGAGAACATTTTGATATTTCTGAGTGATTTCTGACAATGTCTTACTCTTTAGATCATAAAACATTTACTTTTTAGTCCCGTTATATGAAAGACAGTAGCGTTATGCCAAAGACACCCTATGTTACTGGAAAGAAAGTATATCAAATATATTTGAAAAACTATCTAATTGTAGCAAATATCTTTGATCTATCTGTAATGAAACGAATAGTTTTTTGCCTGTTACTCTCAGTTGTATAGTAAGTGTTACATGTTATATATATATCTCCAAATAAGGCGAGTAACAATGACATGTTTGTTACAGAGAAGACAATTCAATCGTATATTTGAGTTAGGATAAGAATACATCTATGGCAGTGAAGATAAGATAGGTTCACATTAATCAATTTATAAAAGTATTGATTTTACCACACTTGAAGTGCAAAATATATTTTGGAAGTTAGCCTGTGTGTTACCCCAAAGACATGTCAGTGTTACTGGAAAGACATTTCAGATCAAGTTGATGGAAGACAAAAAAGAATTAAATTCTGGTGTTCAATAAAGACTTTAGACAGTGTGCTTTGAATAAACAACAATAAAAGTAGCAGTTACCATTTTGAAATTTGTTTTCTAGGAACTCAGAAACTCATTTCAGAACAAGTTTGACTGTAATTGCCATGAATTTATCAAACTGTCAAACAGGTTTGCAACTAGCAAAAGTATCCAAGTTTGGATCACATTCCTCAAACTGTCAAACAGGCTTGCAACCAACAAAAGTATCCAAGTTTTGATCATCTTCCTCAAACTGTCAAAAAGTTTTGCAACTAACAAAAGTATCAAATTTTTGATCATCTCCCTCAAGCTGTCAAAGTAACAAATCAATCACTAAAAGTAATCTCCGCATTTGTCATACCCATCTTGCAAGTTCTGAGAACCATACAGAAGTGATTATTTCATTGAAATTTTGTTTCAGATTATGACACATTAACTTTAGATAGGAAACTAGATGTTAACACTTTGATGGTTTTGCAGACTGATAATTACGATGTCATATTTATTATAGTCATATTTATGTCTTTCAAATAACAGTCTTTGAAAATGCATAAAAGCATTCAAAGTTTCTAGAAAAGACTTCTTTGTGAAGCATAAGGTAATCTTATCTCATATTTGATGCTAATCTGAATGAATCAGGAAAGAAAGACAAAAATGAAGGATAATTAGTATTAAACTGTCTTTGCAGTTACAACATAAGTCTTTTAAAGGTCACATGCAACGTAAAACACAACTTTGCAGATTCTGATACCTTTCGGTATGGACGTACCGGAAACAAATCATCAAAAATGCAAATTCAACTTATAAAGTTGAAAAATAACGCGATGAAAAAAACCGCACGAAATCGGAGTTCAAACGATTCACTAATTTTCCCTCGAAAATTTCGGGGGAAAACGGGTTTCAACAGCTGGGCTGCGCTCATAGCATGTGCGCAGTGAAATAGGTTCGCGCAACTTGGAAGCGGGCTGTCTGGTGAATACTCGGTGAAGGCTATGGTGTGAGCTATTTTTCATAATGTTTTGTTGATATGTTTTTATATGTTATGACAGTAAATAAACTGTTTATATAATTTCATTTGTCTATTTCACCACACGTTCTTCTACCGAGTCACTTTCTCAGTTCGATACTTAAAAGCAATGTCATTATTTAGCGTTGACAGAATTTCTAACTGTGATATAGATATGTCGTTGTCACAGACAAAACTCAATGTCTTGTTTTATTGACATAACTGCGATCACTGACCACATGCAATTTGAACTTAACACCAATCAGGCTATACACCATAAACAAAACGCATTGATTTATGGCCCGAGTTCGGTCTCTGTCACATTATGTAATTACACAGACAGGCTGGTGTGATACTTGAACACATGACATGTTATGATGTCTGTTGATTGCAAAATGTTATACACAAAAAATGAGCATGTATTTACAAAACCCAACATCTCTATATACACACACACAATGTGCCGTGAAGGCGGCATCTGCAAATGAACCAGCCGTTACACTTGAGTGCATACCCACCCGCTCTGACTGGGTTCGGGTATCCCGGCTGCTTCGTTTCTTGGGAAGTAAACCCAAGTACACAATATTGCACTTTTGACTTGCGATTATACGCTTATAATTTTGTTTATTTTTCCTTATCCTGACTCATGCTCTTTTTGCTTGTCTTCTTCTTCTTGCGAACATAGTGGAACACTTGTATCTCCCTAATTGAAGCTCCCTTCAATGTAAAATCACTAATTAGTACTCAGCACGAGTTACCTCCCTTCCACAAGTGCGGGAACGAGGGCGCCACCTCCACCCATATGCCTCACTCTCTCCTTCTTCGCCCAGTGAGCTGGACGTGAGAGCGCCTGTGTCTCCCGACACACTATATCCTTTGATTATATTTAGTTAGTTACCTCGTATAGACATCTATAGAGGTTTAGCTAGTATCCTTCAACAATTATATATTGATATTTAGTCATGTTTCTACTGTTTATTCACGGGACGCCGTGTTTGTTTCAGTGGATTACGTTGATAAAAATTCTGTTCTGTTGCAGATTACGTTTTTTTATTCTGCTGCTGATCCGCATTTAATATGCCCTAGTTGTACTGCGCCATGTTCATTTTATTCACGTTGCAGTTGCAGTACTAATTTATCCATTTCTGCCTTTAATAAATAATTACTTTGGCGTTTGAGGCGCCGCGAGCAGATAGGTCAAGCGTGTGCAGAGTCTAGCCATGACTGATACACCTGAACCCCTCGCCAGTCTACTGCTGTTGGTCGACCCCGCTCCCGTCTGGTGTTCCGCTAGAGTGGTGGAGAGGCGTGGGACGTAGTCCGCCGCCTCCAAGAAGCGTCCTGCTTTCCCAGACATCCCATCGTCGCAGCCGAAGACTAGAGTTTTTCTACTGCATCTCAACGCGACCTCTGAGGGGAAATCAACGAAGTCTACTTGAACTTTCTCAGCCGAGATTGTTCCCGTCGCAGATTTGGGCCTGTATGATGATCAGCCGATCATCATACCTGATGTACATCAAAGAATGACCGATGTCGGCAACAGTGATGTCAGCGCAGATCAACATGCAGCCTGATGTACCAACGATGATATTCTATGATCTTCCTGAGGGTCCCGTCGCTACCAACACTCAACGCAGACTTCGCACCCCCAGGGCAGCGTCGACCTCTGAGGGGAAATCAATGAAGTCTACTAGGACTTTCTCAACCGAGATTGTTCCAGCCGCTGAACTGGGCCTCTACGATGATCAGCTGATCATCATCCCCGACGTACGCCACAAGAAGCGACCGGAGACATCTACAGTGACATCAGCAGAGATCGCCATGCAGCCTGATGTCTCTACACTGACGTCAGACGACTTCCCTGAGGGTCCCGCCGCTAACATCGCAGAGAGGGCACCGACTACTTCGTCGCAGACCATCCCAGATGAACTGTTGCGGCAAATCATGATCATGATGGAGGGCCACCACAGACTGGGAAGCAGCCAGCCCAAGGCCCGAGCCTTCGCGAAGGTTCCAACGCAGACGACACCCCAGAGGCACCCCCATCAGCGTAGCAGCCACGACGAAGCCACCTTCGCGAAGGAAGTCGCAGACCACCTCCACGAAGGACCCAGATGTACATCACCTTCCTCGGCTTCATCCCTAGATGCGGACTCAGACCGTCAGACCTCACGAAAGCCTTCGCGAAGGTCAAATCGCTGTTCCCCAGGACCGGACGCAGAGGAAGCTTAGCGAAGGCCTTCGCGAAGGCCTTCGCGAAGGACACCTGACTACACGAGAGCTTCGCGAAGCTATCAACATTCTCCTCACAGGTCTCCGAGAAGGTCAACCCATAGACGCAGTTCACCAACACGATCTCCGCGCCGATCTCCTCGTACATCACCACACAAGTCTACAGTCAGGTCTCCCCGAGCGTCACCCGACATAGAGATAGAAATACACAGTCCACCATCAGAAGAGCATCAACCTCTCATCAGTGATGCTGGGATAGAAAATGATGGAGGCATCATTTTCTCAGACGCTGAGATACGATATTGGATGGTAAACAACCTAGATCTCTCTTCACCTTCCAAGAATGGCAACTCGGCGCAGACATACCTCATAAAGGAAGACGAGGCAGACGCCATCACCTTACCTCCAATCGACTCGATTGCTGCGGTGCCACAGTATGTGGACACAGCCTACCATAAAGCCATAACAGTTCAAACGCCAGAGGCGTATGTTATTGGCATTAATAGATCTAGAACGATCAATGAGATTCTTATCACCAGATTTCGTGACACGACTTCTGAAGATGATAGGATGATCTACTCGGCTCTACTTATGCAGAACCAGCAAGAACCACACCCTGTATGAAGCTAACGCTCATATATTGATCGGTTTCTAGACACTTCGCTAAGGAAGTCCCAGGCCACCTCCGCGAAGGAGCTACAGCCTCACCAGTTACAAGGGACGTCACGGAGGA